GGGACCCTCAGGGGTGCCACTATTGGACCCAGGTTGTCCACGTGCAAGGACAGGGCCCTCCCGCTATCTTTGCAGCATGCTAGCATCTTCACTGCCTCAGGTTTTCCGTTTGTTCGTTGTACTGGTTAGTTCTGTTCTTCTAATCTGCGGTTTGGGGGCCTCACCTGGTATGGTCAGGCGACTCCTGATCCGTGCTTGGGGCCGTGCTCGGGGAGTGTGTGTTGTTGGGACTTTGACGCTGGGCCTTCTGCACACAAGAGCACTGTAGCCCACTGAGCCGTTTCCCCAACTTCCGTTCTCTCCTTTTGATTGTCTGAGCATTATAGAATCTCTGGTCCACTATATTTTTCAACCCTTTAGTAGAAGGATACATATTTTAGGAACTGTAATATTTTCTAGTAATAAAAAGGGTTTTGGAATTTTGGATTAACGGTAAGCTGTTGGCCAGAGAGATAGTACAACAGGGAAGACATTTGCCTTGTGTGCCTTACACTTGGGTTCAATCTCTGGCACCTCATATGGTCCCCCAAGCTCACCAGGAGTGACCCCTAAGCTCAGAGCCAGGAGTAAGCCCTGAGCACTGCTGGGCTAGCGTGTTTTTACCCTTTTGATATGTAATAATTTGTATAAAGAGTTGAGTGAGTGAAGAAACCTTGTGCTTAGATTTAACATAGGTTTCCACTCATGAGGAAAAATGTCTAATTATTTGATCCTATCCATTGGCCTCAAATAGTATATTTACTGCTGAAATAGGAGGTGGACTACGTCATGGTCATGGTCACGGTCCTCCCGTTGTTCATCGATTTGCTCAAGCGGGCCCAGTAACGTCTCCATTATGAGACTTGTCATTACTGTGTTTGGTATATCGAATATGTCACCGGTAGCTTGCCAGGCTCTGCCGTGCGGGTGAGATACTCCCGGTAGCTTGCTGGGATCTCCGAGAGGGGCGGAAGAATCGAACTCAGGTCGGCTATGTTGGCCGCTCGTAAGGCGAACACCCTACCCGCTGTGCTATCGCTCCAGCCTGAAATAGGAGGTGGACTACGTATAAAAATAAAATGGTGAAAAGAAACATTTTTATTTCTATTGAACTCTAGTCCAAACATGGAATGTATAAAGGTTTAAATATTCCAAAGTGTTTTCTAATAGCTTCTTAACTCCATCCAAAAGTAATTCAGTTCTTCAAGTTTGAGAGCACTAGTTTGATACAGCATGTCATAGGCTAAATACATTAAATGGAGAGAAGTAAGTACAATCAAAGTTTAGAAATTTAGAGCTAGAACCTGGGTGAGTCGCTTCCCTTCTACACAGCAAACCTTTGATCCTTGATCCTTGATCCTTTGATCTTACATCCTTCATCTTTGATCTCTGATCCTTTGATCCTTGGTGACACATCTGGTCCCTGAGCTCTTCTCTACCTGACCTTTGAGCACAGTGGGTGTGGCCACAAAGTCCCCCAGGAGGATATTGGAATAAATATGTTAAGATTTTTAGTCATTAGTCGAATTTTATTATATAAATGAAGAGCTGGAATTTTAATTCGTGTAAATGTTTCTCAAAAAGTGTGCACAGTGTCGGAGCTATTTGATAGGTTAAAAGCATAAATGTTTATATATATATATATATATATATATATATATATATATATATAATGGGCTGGAACGATAGCACAGCGGTAGGGCATTTGCCTTGCACGCAGCCAACATGGCCAACCCGAGTTCGATTCCTCCGCCCCTCTCAGAGAGCCCAGCAAGCTACCGAGAGTATCTCGCCCGCACGGCAGAGCCTGGCAAGCTCCCCGTGGCGTATTCGATATGCCAAACACAGTAACAAGTCTCACAATGTTACTGGGTCCGCTTGAACAAATCAATAAACAACGGGAGGACCGTGACTGGACCGTGACCATATATATATTAAATATTAAATATATTAAATATATATATTATATTTAAGTCTACTGTGATTTTACTCTCTAAGTGATGCATCTGTGTCTATTCACCCCACTGTGCTCCTAGCCATTGCTTGCAGGAACAAGCCAACGTGGCTTCTAAGGATTCATGCTCTGAACTCATCTCTCATCCTTCTCTGACCTTCACTAACTGTTCTTTTCAGTACAGATTTGTCACTTTTTCAAATTAGTGGCACTTCCACACTGATCAACTTTAATGGCAGTCAATCATTGGAGAGTCGAGGACTTGCACTGGCATCTGCGTGGCCGTGTCCACCTCGACCTCAGGCACGGCCGCTGCCTTCCCTGACCAGTCAGAGGATAACGGCCAGAAGCATTCACTTGCTTTGTAGGACTTAGCAATAAAAATGTCCAAAGTATCTTTAACAAGCTGTGATCGTAATAACTCGAGTTTAGTTCTGTATCCAGGTGCGTTTTGCTTGATAATTAAAAAGACATATCTTTGTTTTCTTTTCTTGAAGGGCCTTTTAGTATAGTTCTATTTTTTTTTTTTTGCTTCCCATCCCCAGTGGGCTTGTAAAAAATAGTCGTGAATATTCAGTATTCATGACAAGGCCAGCAAATACGGCTTGCGTTTGAAACTATGCTTTAAAAAAATCACAAACAACACTTAAGGTTGCTTTGAGCATTAAAATTTGATGGTTGTTAGATAAAGGTGAATAGATGAATTAATACAAATGTGCTCCAATAGAAAATGGAGGCTACATTAATCAACAAGTCCACCCGCAATGTAATGTCTTGCCCAAATGGAAATTTATTTCAGGGTCTGTCTAGTACCACCACAGAAAGCCAGGCAGTTCAGTCCGCCCCAGGAATTCAAATTATTGTGTAAATGGTTTATTTCTTTATCTACTAATTTATGGTAAGATTTTTCCCTTGTTTATGTATGAAGTTTCACTACTAAATGTCTTACATCTTAGAAATCATTAGTCAAATGAAAGGATAGTATTTTTCAAGTTATAAGAATTAGAGAAGAAAAAAAAAAGAATTAGAGAAGGAAGATGGTAAAAGGAATAAGTTCATGGCCTTAGATAAGACACTTCTTCTTCACTCAGAGGTAAAACGGTTTCTGTGACTCTATCCAGTTTTGTATTTTGCCTTAAAGCTTATTTCAAGACAGACTGTGTGAAAGTTTAATGGTCTAGACAAATTATTAGGATAATAATAGTCTAACTCTTACTTTATATTTATTTTATAAATGTTGCTGCAGAAGTTTACTATTTACTTAGCAAATGTTACAAATTAATGCAGAATTCTCATAGTCTCCATTTTGCTTATTCTGTCCACATGATGTAGGTCATCAAACCAGGACAATTTAAGTTAGATTAATTCTTCTCTTTACTACTAGTATTGCTTTTAAGCTAGGTTGGGACTATCACTTTTCTTTTCTCAGAATTCTTCCTACTTCTCATTTTAATACGTTTCATTCCTTTTTGTGATGATAGCTTCCTTCTTTTGATCCATCTCCGATTATTCTTTAAACTTGCATGGGGTTGCACTTATTTTCAAATGCTTTTTGTTGGTAATAAATTATGGATAATTCTTCTAGGATAATTAAGAAAATAATCATAAACTAAGTAAGGGTTGCCATTTTGGTATAAAATGATTTCTGAAACCGTGACCTTTTATGAACAATATTTTCTACAAGCTTCATGTGTAAATTGAGAACAGATGCATTGCAAAAGTAAACCAAGTTGAAAACAGATAACTTCTTGATGATTATTTGTTATCTATACCTCATTGAAATCACCATCTACTACACACACATTATGTAACAGTTGTGCCAGAATTTGAGACGGCACAAATTCCGGCACAACTGTGTTAGATAAAGGTGACTAGATGAATTAATTGTTTGGTGTCTACACATTCCCAGGTGTCAGTCATTCCCCAGAAGGCTGTCAATAAAAACCACAAAAATGCAACTCACACTTTATAACAATGTCTTGCTTTTTCTAAGTACAAAGTATCTTTGTTTAAAAATCTGTTCTTTGGATATAATTGCTGAAAATAAAAGATCAATCCACCTAAGTTGGTTTCTCTTATTATATGCCTGCATCCCCCTTGGTCTGAATCATATGAGCATTCCTTAGATGGTACATCAAAGAAACTGGAAAGTTGGTGCATAATCTACATCACACACGCACACACACACTCACACTGAGTGAGGAAGGGCTCAGACCACATGCAACTGTGCTCAGTGCTTCCTTCTGGCTCTGTGCTCAAGGATCACCCTTGAATGAATGGCAGTCGACTGTATGGGATGCTGGAATAGAACATGGGTCCTTGGGTTTGCCGAATGCAAGGTCAGCACCTTGCCACTACCCTATCTTTGCCTCCTCATTAGACATTTTTGACCTAAGCCAAGAATAGCTTTGTTCAGACTCAGTCAGGCGAGGTTATAAAACCCTGTATATTGTCTGCATTTCCTTTTACGTAAGATTTCTATCTGTACATGTTGCTAGCAACCCAAAGCCTACTAAAATTGCACAGTGATAATTTAATACGGATATGAGTCGCTTGCAGTCTTTACATCCAGACAATTTCATAATTAGATCTCTGTACAACACACCGGCACAATGATTTTCAGAACATAGAAGTTATGTGTGGAAAGAGAGTAGCCAGAGAATACACAGGGAATTCCCGGAAGAACAGAATGTTGTTAGATCCCAGCTGTGAAGATTTATAGAGTTACAATAGAAATCCATCAAAGTTGATGTGAATATATATAGGGGGATTTTAATCACTCATTCAAATTACAATCGATTATATTATTCTTTAGCTAAGAATTATCTTTCTCTAGGATTTGTTGAATTATATTTTCAAACTTAATAAGCCCTTAATAAGCTGGGCGTCTATAGATAGAACACAAATGTGTCTGCGCTTCTGTGTTAATGCTTTCCATCGTCAATAGAACAGCAAAGACCCTTCTAACATGGGATTGATTTTTGCCGCTCGCAAAGTATATCCATTTAGTTTAGGTTTGCTTTTAATGATTAATGTTTACTGACGAATGGTTTGCTTTCTGTTCTAGGTTGTGGAGACTAATTTAGTTGCTTTTGACTGTCACTGGATCATTATAAACGAGGTAAAGTCAACTAAACCTTAATAAACTTTATTGTCGAACCTACTGTCCTCGTTTCACATGCGCAGGGTGTTTTCTACAGCCTGAAATTTCTAAGCCCACAGTAAGCTTGCAGATTACTGAGTGGATGCAGTTCAATAGAAATATGGTGAGGAGTCTTCAATAGTTATACAGGGCTCTGTATGAATGAAATCAGTGGAGAAGGTCACCTTCCTAGAGAGTACAGCTTCTCTTGGAAGCAAAGTGACTCCCTCCCAGTGAGACACTTGTGTTCCATTTATATTTTAATGTTTTTCTGAAACTCTTATATCTGTCCCCCTTACATGGGGATAAAATGCTTTTAGCATGTGAATATGTATAAACAAGAACAAATTTTAACGTTTTAAAATAGAGGATGAATAGTTCACCTCTTTCAGGTTGTCAGACTCCTTGTGAAACTTTTTGATGTTTGGATAGAAAACCTAATAGATTGAAAATATATTTACAACATGAGAGTCCTGTGAAAGAAGTTGCACCATAGAACTGAAGTGAAAAATGGATAGGTCAAAGCAGATCAACTATGGATTCAATATGAATGGACCCACTATTGGTTACTCATGTGATCAAGAGGATTTTCCCCTGCACAACCTAGCATTAAATCCTTTCTATTATTTATAAATAAGAACACTGTTTCATGCATAAATGGATAGTAAATATCTAATAACACAATATTAATTTATGTTTATTAATTAATTTATACATTAATATTAATTTGTTTCAGGAATAAGACTGCATTTGGGGTAAGAATTCTGGTTTTGCAGTCAGCAATAATTATACAATTATTTACATGTTTCTAGAGACAGAAAATAGAAAAGATCTGTAGTTTGTATTTGTACCATGCATTTAATACCTTTTCTTATAATCTTACACTAAAATTATGGAGCTTAGTTGATGCTCTTTATAGCACTTTGGCAAAAGATGGCTAATACTTCTATAATCATCATCCGGGCACATCAAAATCCACTTTTTAGCATTATAATTTTTTTGTTTTGATTTTGGGGCCATACCCGGTGGTCCCCAGGGCTCACTCTTGGCTCTGTGCTCAGGGTCACTCCTGATGGGGCTCAGGGGACCACATGGCGGGGGGCGGGGATTGAGCCTGGGTTGGCAGTAAGGCAAGCATCCTACCGGCTGTATTATTGCTTTAGTCCCTGTTTTACTGTTTTTGTATTTTTGTTAGACATAGCCTCAGCTGTTGTGTATATGTGAGCTCTGGTTTGGAATGAAGTTTTGAAATCTTCTAATTTTATAATGCTGTTCTATTTTCTAAATCTAGACTGTCAAGAGAGAGGAAAGGGAAACTTAGCAACCACTAGTGAAAAGTTTTCAAAGTATATATTCTCATTTATAGTTTTATGCAAATCCAAATTTCAGAGAAACTATACAGTTGACAAACTATTAAGTAGTGGGTGATGGTAGGACATTAAACTTTGTCTTTTCCAGTCCAATGCTCTCGTATTTTCTTTTCCTTATTTTTAACACTAATAATTAATAATAATAATTTAAATAGTATTTATTTATAAATAATAAATAAAAATTAAATAAAAATTAAATTTAAATATTAAATAATATAAAAATAATAATAAAAATTAATAGTTGACAAACTATTAAGTAGTGGGTGATGGTAAGACATAGGTCTTTTCTAGTCCAATGCTCTCATTTTTTCTCTTTCCTTATTTTTAACAATTATTCTTACAGAGTACCATTTTGAAGTTTTCTGATATCTTAATTTCAATCCTGTGGTACTAGTTCTGCTATTAGTTGTTAGTAATTATTTTCTAGTAATTGTGTGTAAATAGAGAAATCTCCTAATTCTTTGGGTTTTTTTTTTCTTTTAATCTCACACCAGACATCTAATGGGAAATAGGCCATACAGGTTTCCTGATGTAAAATAATCTAGAATCATTTTACTTGTGTCAATAAAGCTGACTGGGTTCAAGTTATCGCTTGCCTTCTTAGAGAACGCCTGTAACCATCTTGCATTCATTAAATAGCATGTCCCTGAGGTCACTGTTTGAGAGGTTCTAGAACTGCCTGGTACCAGGAGAACCTTCTCCCTAAGCGCACTGGGCTTCCGTGCTTCCCTTCAGCGCCTGCGTGCTCTGAGATCTGTGGAGGAGGCCCTGGCTTTGCTGTCCACTAGCCGTTCCTCAGTCCTTAGGTTGGTCTTTGTCATTTCAGAGATCGGAGAACTTTGACTCGACCTTTGTGCTGAGCCTCAGGCTTGCAGGGACCCTGCTGTCATTGTATTTGTCAGGCACCACCTAGTGCCAGAGCCTGATGCCTGACGTGCTATCAGCAGCCCTTTATTATTCATTTATTGATTTACTTATTTAGTGAATCACCTTGAGATACACAGTTACAAAGCTGTTCATGATGAGGTTTCAGTCATACAACGTTCCAACACCTGCCCCTTCACCAGAGCACATTTCCCACCACCACCGTCTCTAGTTCCCTCCATTACCTTCATGGCAGGCACTCACTCTCCACCCCCTGTCTCTTCTCTCTCTCTTGATCTCTCTCTCTTTCTCTCTCTGTCTCTCTGTCTCTGTCTCTCCCTCCTTCTCTCTCAGTCTCTCTCAGTCTCTCTCTCTCTCTCTCTCTCTCTCTCTCTCTCTCTCTCTCTCTCTCTCTCTCTCTCTCCTCTCCTCTCCTTTTGGGCATCATAGTTTGCAATACAGATACGAGAGTTTATCATGTCTGACCCTTTATCTCCTTTCAAAACACAGTTCTTATCCAGAGTGATCATTTCTACCCACCGTTGTCATAATGGTCCCTTCTCTCTCCCAACTGCCTTCTCCCCACACCACCTGAGGCAAGCTTCCAACCATGGACTTATCCTGTCCCTTGTTTCCACTCTTTTTGGGTATTTGTCTCACACTGTGTTTATTTATAGACACACAAATGAGCGCAGTTATTCTGTCTGTTCTTTTCTTTCTACCTCATCTCACTCAGCATAAAGCTCTTCCTGTCCATCCGTTTATAAGCAGATTTCGTGACTTCTTATTTCCTAGAGCCTGCATAGTATTCCATTGTGTGGATGCACCATAGTTTCTTTTGTTTCTCTCTCTTTTCTGGGTTCCTGCTGGGCACTGATCTTGCTTCCTGCCTAGGTTTGTGCTGTCCGAGTCCTGAAAGCAGGTGAGGGGGACTGAGACCCCCGGGTTCTGTGGCTCTCCCTGGCCCCTGCGGGTGACTTCCACTGCTAGCTTTTGGGGGCTCAGAGCCTCTGATCAGGTTCTTCACCCAAGCTCAGTGCCAGCAAGTTCAGAAAATCACATAACGGCGGGAATTTCATGCAGGTCTCTGGGATGTTCGGCAGAGTCTTGCAGTTTCCGTTCCTTGCTGACTGATGAGTTTTGGTACAGGATGCAGGTCCCTTTGTTTGCCACTTTGGCCCCTCTCTCTACATTTTATTTTTATCACTGTCATCCCGTTGTTCATGGATTAACTTGAGCGAGCACCAATAACATCTCCATTCATCCCAGCCCTGAGATTTTAGCAGCCTCTAGTCTTTCCCAACACTGCCATATTGGAGGCTCTTTTAGGGTCAGGGGAATGAGACCCATTATTGTTACTGTTTTTGGCATATAGAATATGCCACGGAGAGGTTGCCAGGCTCTGCCGTGCACCAGTTGATCTTAAGCTAAAAAAAAAAATAAATAAAAGAACTGACTATAAAAGTATGTGTTAGCCTGGAAAAAAAAAATGGTTCAAAGGGTTTGTGTACAAAAATGCTTTGCGTGATAGTGTCCTGGGTTCATATTTTATTTATTTAGCTTTGGGGGACCACAGCTACCTTACTCCTGGCTCTGCCTCAGGGCTCACTCCTGACAGTGCTTGGAGGTCAGTGTGTGGAATCAAGACAAGGACCTGGGCCCTGCACATACATGGCCAGCATCTCCCACTTCGTGCTGGCTCTCTGGAACTAACGTTTATTTCTTCAAGTATTATGAGGGAAAATGCTTTAAACACATACTTCCTAAATTGGGTCATTATTGCGAAAAATGATTTTTAAAAAAATAATAAACACCTCACAATCTAATCCCCCAAACAATGGAATGGAAGTTAGAAATAGAGAAGATAGAACTGAGACTTGAATTTTGAACCAAATTTTCTTTTTTTTAAATTTTTTTTTATTAGTAAAACACCATGAGGTACAGTTATAGATTTACAAATTTTTGTGCTTGGGTTTCAGTTATACAATGATCAAGTACCCATCCCTCCACCAGCGCCCATCCTCCACCACGGGTCCCAGCATCCCTCCCACCCCCCACCCCCCTAATCCCACTCTTCCTCTGTGGCAGGTCATTCCCTTTTGCTCTCTCTCTCTCTCTCTCTCTCTCTCTCTCTCTCTCTCTCTCTCTCTCTCTCTCTCTCTCCTTTTGGGTTCTGTTGTTTGCAAGAGACTTGAATTTTTGCTCCACTGTCACGGTTGACTTTTCACATAAAGTTCTCTAAGCACGTGTCTTGCTTTAGCCTTTCCTGCTGCTGAAAATGTTCTTCCCGCTCCCCCTACTGCCCAAGTGATAGTTCTCCCTTGTCCCTGCCGGAGAGCTCAGACTCCTCAGCAGTGCTCAGGGTGCCCAGCACCCCTCAGGGGTACCTGACTCACTGAATTGTGTTGCTCTGAGATTCTGAGCAGCTTGGAGCCAGCAGTGCTGGGTGACATGAGGGCCACCTCTGGGGCCCACCCAGTGCTAGAGGGAATGAGGGATTGGGGGCTTCGTGCAGTGCTGGGGATGAAACTCTGGTCTGTGAGCTTGTGAGTTTCCAGCCCCTGACCCCTGGCCTCAGATCTCCCTTTGCTTTGTGTGCAGATCAATACCACCTGACTTTTCAAAAGTAGGATGTTTCCAGGCCAGGCTATGCATAGTGGCTAGTATTTTCTTCCCAACTCATTTGAAATTCAGATGGAAAAGCGCCATCCTTCAGGACACCTAGGGCGAGCACTCTTCCACGAT